TTTGTTTCAATTATTGAAAAAAAAGTGAAAGAAATTGAAAACTTAAAATTTTTCGAAAGCCATGCCTGTCATTGCGAACTAGTGCCAGATTTCTTCGAACCATTCGCCACGAAAGCGACCTCGGTCATGGAATTGCATTTACACTGGTTACACGATCCTACAAACTGCCGATGCCGTCTCGAGGGTATTTCGCCTCGAATTTCCTTCGCCAATCAAAAACCTTTAAGTTTATTCCTGACTTTTCGAACCTTCAACTCAAACAATTCAAACGAATTTGATTTTTCTTCAGGAGAAACAAAACAATCAGGATCTCATCGGGAGACTTTTATTACGTCGTGCAAATGAAAATTATTTACTGAAATTATTCTAATGCCAAGTACTTTGAAATGTCATCAGTACGGAAAAATAATTTTTTTGGCGACCAATCTTGAACTTTGGTCGCATCAATTCCAAAGTCTATTTGCTAAATTTTATATGTGAAAAATGTACAAATGTCTGCAGGAAAAAAAAAGATATCTTCGGTGCTGCACGAGCTACTGAACTCCAGCGGGTCATGCGCGGGTGTAAGTGTGCCATGTGACTGTCGATTGATCTAGAGAGGGGAAGGAAACACGATAACCACCTTAGTTTCCACTTATAAATACAAACCCTTTGATAGAAACTTTTACTGAAATATTTTATTACTTGTGTAATTTTTCATGCTGTTTATCATAAGTCTACTAAGTAAGAAGCCTTCGAAATGATGAATTCACGTTTTTTAGTTTTCTAAATCCTGTTAGTCTTTTATGACATTTGATTCAACAGGTCTGTGTTAAGTAGTTTCGTAAAACACTTCAACCTCATCAGGTTGAAAGTTGTAACTTCCTGCCAGGAATGATCGGGCGAAGGAGCTTCTATAACTGTGGCCAGAAGGTGGACTGTAGGTGTCTCCAAGGTTTGAGTAAGAATTTGAGTTGGATGAGGCGTAGTCGGAAATGTAAATATCGTGTCCTCCACCAAATGAGGGTCCATGGCTAGAACAACTGTATATGGAATATTTCTTCTGATAACTATACTGCCCTTGTTGGGTCAGTTTCACTGGTCCCCAGCTTGGCTTGTTAACCAATGAGAACAAAAAGGCGCTCGAAGTGTACTGCCATACACATCTAGAAGCTGAATGATAAGTAGATAATTCAAAATGTTATTCAACTGTCGTTTCCTTTAAGGGAGCAAACACTTATAATCTTTGATTAGGAAACTTTCATCACGTCACTGAGGTTTCCAGAAAAGTCCAACCTTAGATTGGTGCAGGTGCAGGTGCATTTCCGCCTTATTTAGCTTGTTCCAATCTTTCGGTGAGTGATAACACACTCTCTGTTTACCTCAATTTTTGGTTGCAAGGGGTAGTCTAAGTATGATCCTATTTCTTGTGTTATAATTATGAACGTCCCTGTTGGCTAGTGGCTCCAAGGAGTGATCCATGAGGCCATTAATACACTTATAACGATACTGATATATAGCGAGGATAAAATCTACGATGTTCGAGGTTGAGCCACTTTAAAGTTACGAGGGCATAAGTAGCTGACGAATAAAGTGGTCTGTTCAGGAACGAGCCGTTGATTAACTTTAGAAATTACATGCTCTACATGATCTGACTACATGAAGTCCGAGGACAACATAACTCCTCAATACTTAGACCTATTTACGCTGTCAAACTCACAATCGAAAGTAGATAGAGACGATGAGGAAATATGAAATAAAATTCCATTGCTTCCAATCAACCGGGATTTGGTCTTAGAAAGGTCCAAGGTAAGTTTGTTCGCTTTTAGCCACAATACTACGTTGTTGAAGTCTGCATTCAATTTTCTCTCCAGCTCGCGAGGTTTTTATTGCGAAGCAGTAAAAGGACGGTTTCGTCAGCATATAATGATACCTTGGGGTGTTTAATAGCAGCAGGTAATTCGTTAATATACCCAAGAAACAATGACGGTCCCAAGATGCTTCCTTGTGGAACTCCGAAAGTAACAGGAAGGGCTTTGGATAGTTTATTTTCACAAGAGGTTTGCCAACTCCGATTACTTAAATAGTAAGAAAACCACTGCAGAGACCGGGGAGACGATTTGGACATCAAGATCCCATGAGCGACTGTATCGAGCGCCTTTGTAAGATCCAGAAATACAGCAACACAAATGTTCCCTTTTTCCAAGTTTAACAAGACTTCATCGGCAAAGCCACAGAATGCAGTGGCTGTTAAACGCTTACAACGAAAATCAAATTGCTTGTTTGAAAGTAAATTATTTGAATCAATGTATTCGTACAGCTGAGAGGATTACATTCTCTAAGATCTTGCTGAAAGAGCGTAAAATTGAAATAGGGCGATAATTTGTTGGGTTTGTTCCTGATATGAATAAAGCTGTCACTTTAGAACACTTCCATATCCAAGGAAACTTCCCTGTGCACAACTAGAAGCTACATAATAAGTCAGTAAGAATTCAACTGTCGATCCTTTTCAAGGGAGAGAACTAATCTCCACTTCACATCTCTATTTAAAATTTTCAGAAAGGCTCATAAGATTTAGCAATATTTATTCTATCAGCTGTGCACAGAATATCATATCATGAGTCATTAACTTTCCAAATTTGCCAGACTGAGTTACCCTAAGTATCCCTTTTACTCGATGCTGTGGCGCTAGTTAAATTTTAACGCTTCCCAAGCGGTGAAGATTCAAGGGGCGGCATTTATTCGAAGGCGGTGTGCGTAAATTTGAAATCAGATTTATAAACCCATTGACATCAATCACTGTAAAACATTCGTAAGTGGTATGTAAAGAGGAAATTTTCCTGAGACCGTTTGTCTGAATCGCCCCAGAGGCGGAAAATCGAATTTCTCCCCATGAAGCCCAACAAGCTCCGGAGGAAAACTTATCATTGAAATGAGATTGGAAGCTTCCGCTTAGTTTTCCTTTATTCGAAATTTCAGAAAACCCTAAATTCCCCAGGCGTGGTTGAAATTTCGTGTAGGTTTCAACTACCCGTGCAAAGGCACAAAACCCTGTCTGAACATATCCTTCGCTTCTTTCGCACTTTGTTCGCGTTGTGCTTGAGTAACAAATTAGTGAAATGAATAATCGACGGCAATTCGTTTTTCGCAGTTATGTAGTAAAAGAGACTCGTTAAAAACCTAAGCCTAGAAAGCACTCGCAGATAAGGGCATAATAAGTGTATATTACATGTATATGACACGCGTTCCTGATCAATTATGCCGCGGACCACATTGTGCTGTTTTGTTTTGTTTGTTGTTTTTTTTTTAAATTAGAAACCAGACGCACTCTCAGATTTCAATTTTGTAGATTCTACTTCAAGGAGGAGAAAATGAAAGCAAACTCAATCAATCACACACTTACTCCATGATAAGCCTGTGTATCCACCAAAGAAGTATTTTCCCACACGGACAATGGTCACTGTTGGTCCTTTGTTGTCACACAAATAGTGGAAGGTTCCGGCAACCCAACCATCCACTGATGCCCGTTAACATCTCTTCCGGTGAGAGGAATGGCTCTTCACTACAGGGTTTAACCAGTAACTTAAGGTGCTCAGGTGATTGTTGTCATTTTCCAGTGTTGCTGATTGTGTAAAACCTTTCAGAATGGAAGAATGGCACCCCCTTACTCTTGATACAAAGCGTGTAGGGTTGTATTTAACAAATAAAGGGGCTCCACTGTACTCTGTTCCGTCTAAAGTGGTGAGGAAACAGCTATGACACGAAAGAAGTGTTGGGAATCACTAGACATAGTCGAGAGTTTTCCCTTTTTATTGAGTGCTCTTAATAAAGGCGCTTCCTGCTTGCCTTACAACAGAACACAACACAGTCGAGGCATCTGTGTTCGTGTAATAAAAAGAAATTGTTTAAAAANCGTTTATATTTAGCGCCTGTAGTCATGGGCGGCGTTTATTCGATGGCGGTGCGCGTTTATTTTCAAATCATATTTCTTGACTCATTGACCCAATTGCAGTAAAACATTCGCAAATATCATGTAAAATGGAAGTCTTTCCACGACCATTTGCCTGAAAATATCGAGAATCGGCCTAGGGGTGGAATATCGAGTTTCACCCTGTTTGGCCCTAGGAAGCCCGGAGGAACACAATCCCTGAAATGACATTAGAAGCTTCAGTTGCCTTTTACTTTCTTCAAAATTTGGACATTTTTAAATTCACCTGCCGTGGTTGAAACTTGTTACAGGTCCTGTTTGAACATATCCCTCGCTTCTTTCGTGCATCGCTCTGGTAACTGATGAGTCAATTAATTCACCTGGCGGCAATTTTTTTTTCACAATTATGCAGAAATAGATGCTCGTTGAAAACGTGAACTTTAAAGGCACTCGAAAGTGAACGGCATGATCAGTGTTTATTACTTCTTAGCCACTGTTATAAAACACAGTTCAGTATTCCTGATCTAATATGCCATGGACCCCATTGTACTGTTTTTTTTTTTGTTTTGTTTTGTTTGAGTGATTGTTTGTTTGTTTGTTTTTTTTTTATGCTAGAAACCAGATGCGTTCGTAGATTTTAATTTAAGCGAGGAGAAAAGGCAAGTAAATTCCATAGGTTATGCACTTACTCCATGATAAGCTGTTGTATCCACCAAATATGTATTTTCCCACACGGACAATGGTCACTGTTGGCCCTTTGCTGTCACACAATGAGTGGAAGGTAGAGGCAGCCCAACCATCCACTGATGCTCTCCAGCAGAACTTCCAGTAAGAGGACTGGCTCTGCACCACAGGGCTTAACCAAACTCTCAGGGATCCAAGGTAATTGTCATCGTTTGCCAATATTGCCGAATAACCCAGGCCTTAAAACAGGAAATAAGTATCATTTCACCGTTGACACCCAATTTTTTTCATTGCCATAACATTTTTACATGTTATTGTGTAAAGAAGATATGGAACACTGACACAACAAAAGCAAACAACTGAACATTAGAGAAATAGTTGGTGACGCAGAGCATAAACTACTGAGGCTCCTGAGACAGTCCACTTCTGCGAAGCGTTATGTTAATCAGTACAATAGGAAATGCGAAGAATTTGAACTCAGTTGTCGTGTACAGAATACACTTTTCACGTATTCAAAAACAAAATGAAAATCAATCTTCCATAATTATTTTTTGAGACAGATAATAGGCTCAGAAGAGATTTTGAAATCAGTTCTTTTCCTATCAAAGTTTGAAAAGAAAGCCAGAGTTCGGTTAAAATCTCGGGGTACGAACACCAAACTTTCACTTCCCTGCTTTACCGACAGTTTCTTGTAAACTTAACATACTTCCATTCCTAAATTTTTTGGGTGTAAAGGGCTATAAAAATGTATTTCAAGCTGTTTTTCAACACATCTCACCTGCATAGCTGTGATAACAGTCAAATCCATCTCCAACCATAGGTCGAAATGTGAAT